TTTATCAGCCATTGCTAATGTTTTCTATGTGATCCTCTAAAGCTTTTCAAGAATGAAAGCTCTGTCTGCTGCTCCCAGCACTTTGCCTCTGTGACATATGAATTGTGCCAAATCCATTTTGAGTTTTTGTTTTTAAGCTCTGAGTACAAGGGTGAAGTGAAAATAAAGTGTGAATAATGGTCTTTCTCTCAAAGGCAATGTGATATTGTGTTGAGCTGAAAAATTTACTCTCATACAGATCGGCCCTGCCAGTATGAAGGGCTGATTGATGCTGAGGATGATCCAGCTGATATCTGATATTGGGGAGGGGGAGGGCTCATCAGTGTTGCTGACAAAGCTGTAACAAGATCCAGGGACTGGAAGCTGAAGTTAGGCAAATTCAACCTCACAATAAAATGCCAGTAATGAGCATAATAAAATATTGTAACAGTTTACTGGGGCTCGTGATGAATTCATCGTTAAGAAGTCTTCAGTCTTTTCTTTTAACATCAGTCTTCAGTTTCTGAGAGAAGTTCTATGGCCAGTCTGAGCTGGAGGATCATGGTGATCCCTCTCGGTTTTGTAATTGAAGTGCACTTGTTAACTTCCCTTCTTTGCTAGGCGGTAAGGAGAACACATGTACGAGAAATGTCCTTAACAATTCTCATAGCACCTGCAGATCTGCACAGAGATAACTGTTCTAATTAAATCCTGTCCTTTAGGACTACATAGGATTGCCCACAGAGATGGGAGGAATTGTGTGCTTTCCTTCCCTTCTCCTCCTTTTCCCCCATACTTGTTTGGGTTGGATCTTGAGGGCTTATTTTGTAAGAGTTTTTCTTTTTTACCTTCTTTTTCTTTGCTACAGCATCGGAACGGCTCACCTGATGGGATGTAGCTCAGGAAATAGATTGCCCATGATCACAGTTGACTTTGTCAATGGTGACACACATCAGGCTCTCCCACCTCCGCCACTCAGCAGTTCGTTCACCTCTGCGGTATTCAACAATTTGTGCTCGAAAGGTGGAATGATATTTCAGTGTAATGGAAGCCTTTGGGCTTCATATAGGGACATCTGGATGGAGCTTAATGATATGGGATATACAAGAAGTCATATTAGTCACAGGAGCTGATTCCCTCCTGATCTGAAACTCCTTAAAATATATGAAATTAGAGGCTGCTGAACAAAAAAGCACTCCGCACATCTCGCAGGATTGGACTCCCTGTTATTTCCTTGTCTGAAAAGCAGACAGCCCCCACCTAGTGAATTCTCACGTCTGGGAGTATCTTCTTGAACAGTGTGCTCACCTGCAGGCTATTTGAGAAGTACCAGGGGTGTCTGAATATTGCCGCCTAAAATCAAATGTGTCTGTTATTGTGGGTATTGAGGAAACTCGGGAACAACACGGGTTTGTGAAATCATTATATTCAAGAAGCAGCGCGCTCTTCTCCTGCATTTATAGCCCTGGTAGTATCACATTCTGTTTTGACAGCTGTCAGAAGTTAAGTGAAAGATATTTGGGGAGAGGAGGGCTGAGCTACAGGAGAATTGTTATTTGCAGCGCTCGCCAACAGTTGCAGTTTTCACTTGGTAACACACATGCTGTCTGTTATTCTTTCTCTTTTCTTCTCCTTTGCTAAACTTTTGCACCTTTTCTTTTGTGGCTCTTGTAATGGGGACCAGTGCCATCCAGCCTTGCATGTGACATGCAGTCCGTGCCCTGCTCTAATTTTTCACCAGTTCTGCTTCGGTGACTGTCAACTTGCAAACTTCTGCTAGTGCCACTGTCCTCCTTTCATCTCCCAAATTGAAGCTACAGTTCTGCCATGAGGCAAAGGAATTTACGCTAGCTCTTTCCTTTATTTTTTCTCCTTTATTTTTTTTTTCCCAGCTGACACCATTTATTCTCACAGATTACTGTAGCAGTTTGGTTTTTAACGTGAAACTTTGCTAAAGGTCTTTCACTTGGCTGTTTATTAAGTGCTTACACTTAGCGTTTATATTCAACGGGAGAAGGTTCATAGGCGTTAGAGCACAAGGGGCTTCTATGCTTGCTTTCTGTTCTGGCTTCATGCCTGCGGGCTGTAGAAATAAACATTATTTTAACTTGAACTTATTTTAGCTTTAACTCAGGAGCACGTGAAACTTCTTCTGTAGTCAACCCGTTTTATTATTCTATAACTGCAAATAAATATGCTCTCTCTACGTTAGCTGAACTTGCTAGGGAATTTGCAGAGGCTTAGACTATGAAGACCGCTATACCTCCTTTGTATCACACGGTGGCAGAAAACGCATATGTTCTTGCGCTGTACCAGTTTGGTAAATCGTATCAGATATTTCAATATGCAGCACTTTATAGAGAATACGTTACTTTGGAAAATTAAGCCGGTTTAATTGTCTGTGCAGGAAGAGCTTATTTTATAGCAAAGTAATATGCATTCATCCACAACTTGCAGAATGTATATTAAGTGTGTGTATAGGATTCATTGAGGTATTATATCTGACAGTCAATATAGATATGTAATAGTGTAGAAAAGATAACTATATAGCTGGAATATATATAGGCATTTAGTTTTAATTAGGCTTTTGATTAAATATAAAAGTGCAATTAAGACTGACAGATACAGTAGATCCTGGTAGACTTACATGACAGTTTTTGGCTAGAAAAACTCCTGAGCTGATTTTTTGTCAGACTTGATTTTTTCTAAAGATCTCACTGACTGTTCTGTTGAATCTTTGATCTGAACTACTTCTTATTCTCTCTCTTTTTCTTTGTATATATGTGCTTACCTGTGTGTTTACGGTATTTCTGTTGGTAACAGATGTTACATTAATTTACAAGAAAATTATTTTATTTTAAGGAGACATCGTAGAATTTAGATGTTAGCCAAACAGCTAAGAATTAAATTTGGATTTTTTACCCATGGCAATACATTTTAACTGTATTTTGCCAAGCTTCTCAGACTTTCTTTTCTGAATAATGATACTATTTCTGCGAATGTGTCTCTGAGCACATGAGCATGAGCAATTTGTGAAAGGCTTACGTATGAGAGACTTATATAACATAGGAGGAAAATGATATTATTATGAGAATGTAAATGTAGATATTACAAGATCTGCTTCTATAACTGACTCTGATGATACAGACATGAACAAGTTGCTTTAAGTATCATGTCTCCTATTGCACTGACCTGTTGTTTATGTCAGAAGCCTTGGTTTTGCAGAATGCCTGGGCCAAGATGGGTTTAAACCAATCCTCTGTGCACTACTTTTGAAAATAAGACCATTAACTAATTATGGATATGAAGCTAATTATAGACTCTTAGACGACTTGGCCAGGGTATTTGTCTGGTATCTTAACTAAATAAATCAAATACTCATTACATAAAGTGATGGGATAGATGAAAAAGAGCAAAAAAACCCTTCAGTTACTGTCAGTGTGTCTTGAATACGGTTAGTCATAATTCAGCATGGTTTTGCATCATTTCGCAGTGGGCCTATGAGGCCTTCCAGCGTTACCCCAAAGCTGTGAGCCAAACACAGCAGCTTCCTGGCTTTGTCACGAGTCTGCTGCAGGACCTCGGGCAAACCCTCCTCTTCTTGCTCTTCTTCGGCTCTGTTTCCTCTTTCACTTTCCATCTGCCTTGGTTACTGACAATTCAGACGCTCTTGAGCAGGACTGTGCCTCTAATACACGTTTGCACTGCTCGTAGGTGTTAGGATCCTATCAGCAATTGAGGGCTGAGTTATCAAAACACGATGAGCTCGCAATACGTTCGTTGCTGCACTTAATATTCACCACGGGGAGGAACGGGTACGGCTCCTCCTTGACGCGATAGAGGATGATGGCCAGCCATGAGAGATGATTTTCTGCACATCAGTAAAGCCCCGCGTTTTCATTAAATTGCTTACTTAGGCTCAAGATTGAAGTCGGCATCATTGGAAGGCCTCCTGTAGACTACAGCATGGTGACACAGGCAGCTGTTTCCCATGTCCGTCTGTTACAACTTGTCATTTTGTTTCACAGTATGGAAGGTGCGAGAAGTGACAGGACTAAATAAGCACAGAGGGAACCGACTGTTTTATCTGGCCGTGTTAACGAATAAGCTGGGAGTGAAGTTAACTTCATGTGAAGCAGTTTAAATTATTTATTTTCAATCCTGGAACTGTACTTAACATGTTGTTAAGGCAGAGCCATGTTGACAGGGTGACGTTAATTACCCCACTGGAAACACATCACATTAGCTGAAAACAATTGTTCCTAGCTATCAGTCATGGCTCTGGGTAAAGCCACAGCCTTCACAAATCTTGGCAAACAGTTTCCCCCTCCATCCGTGGAAGTGCCTTCTGCATCCACCCGCAGCTGCAAACTACCTCTTTACAGAAACAAAACATGAAGTTCGGTGGTTGTGGGTTTCTTTCCTTCCCTTCTCTTTTTTTTTTTTTTCTTTGGGTGAACTGAGTGATTGCATGATTGATCTCCTCTCCATTAGGCATGGCACATCTTAAAAGCGTGAGGATCTTCACTTACTGATCCACCGGTATAAATGCGTACGCTTACTCTTCCTGTAAATGCTTTCCCACAACTCCCTTAGTGAATCAGTTCTCACTCCTTAATTCATAGCAAGAGTGTTGTGTCCTTCAGAACAGGATATTATTGCGTCTGGGGTTTCCATTCTCTGCAAAGGCTTTGGCTTAAACATCCCTACTGAGAACTGGATGTGACTTGAGTAGCATTTGTATGGATGTGTGCTAATAGAAGTGAGGAATTGACTTTTTCTTCCCTTCTTGTTCAGCATTGCAATGAGTTAAGGACTCCTAAATGACCCAACTGAGGAGTGCTGGGAATTATCTACAAGTAAATGAATGGCTGGCTACTTCGAGTTGGTACATTATGTTTTTTCTAGATGCTCCTGTTCCATGGTTAATGCAATTAGAGATTCTACTGGGAGAGTGCATGCATGCAGTGTTCATTACAGTGTGAGGCTATGCCTAATAATGTCTAACTCTCTGTTTGTAGGTTAGGCCAAAGACCCTGATTCCAGACAGCCTCCCTATCTCCCCGTGCAGAGACCAACCTTCCAAGCAGCCTCCTACCTTCCAGAAGGCAACTGTAGTCAGCATCAAAAACCCCAGCCCTGCCCTCCCAACTGCCAATAACACCGTCAGCCATGTACAGACGCCTAACAGCCAGTCACAAAGTGTCACCGAGTCTACAGCTATTTCATCACCTCTGAGCAGTGCAGGTGTGGCGTACGCCATCATTTCCACCTCCCCCAACAATGCAACTCCTATCAGCACCAGCGCGACTGTCTCTGTGGTCAACGATAGCATTAAAGTGCAGCCACTCCTCATTAGTGCCGACAGCAAGGTAGGTTCTGCTTTTCACGGCATATTTTTTTGGTTATCAAACACAGGAATTACGTCGCAGATGTAAGCAGAATATTCCCCTGGGAGTGCACAGCCCTGTACAGAGTGGTGTCAGTGGTTCTTTTTGAAGAAAATAATCAGAAAGCAATGGGAAAATTCTTAAGGGGACACATGGACACTAGTAGACATTTATCTGTGTACAAACATATTTTTTAGTGGGAACAAAATGCATCATTATGTAGCCTGACATTAATGGGACCATATGATCTTCCATTTCCTTAAACCAATCTTCACTAATAATATCCCTGAATTCTGTGCAGGCTCAAATTTCCTATGGACTCCCTCTTCAATTATACAGTGATACTAGTTATATTGACTGATCCCAGGGGAGTATATCAAATAATCAGGCATTCCCTTCTACACTTTCAGGGGAAGACCAAATGAAATGAGAGCTCAGGGTTTCAAAACTGATCAGCAGATGAATCAGTAGGAAAAAATCAAGTTATGAATTACGTGTTTCCTCTTTGTACTGCTTTTCAGCTTTGAAATGCAAGAACTTCACCACTCTTATACCAGAAACAGATTCAATAAAGGCTGCCAATGTACCCAGCAGACATTCGCTGTAATTCGCTACCGTGATCCTGCTACTTTGGGTCTTGTTGGCAACACAGGTTCTCATACAGTGCTAAAAAAGAATACAGGATGTAGGATGGCTTTTGAGGTAAATAAAAGCAGGCATCTCTTCTCCACTTGTCTAACATAATTTGTTTTTCTCTTACTTAAACTGACTGCTGGTTAAGAAAAATGTCCCTTTTTATGCTCTTGAATCTTCTAGAGTGACTGAGTTGAGATAAAGTATCTAACAATTAAATAACATCAGCTGAAAGTTAGCAATGAAATAGATGGAAAAGGCCCAGCATTCAAATCCAATAACCTTCATCAAGAAGGTGAGCTTGGGAAGGTCTTCCATAGTCCTTCATGAAGCTTTGATTATGGGTATAAAGTCACATGTGTAGATCTGTGGTCAGAAATTGTCGTTCATTCCTTTTAATTTAATAGCTTTTGAGATAATGTTATCTGCACCGTGTAAAACTTCATGTGGTAATTCAAATACAAGCAGCTGGATATACCAACGTACATGCACGTATGAGAGATCTGTGTAGTAATTCCTATGGGTTCTAAACCAGAATTAATTTTAATTTAAAACACATATAGTTTAATTTTTGTATGCAAAACTGGACATCCACTGCTCATAACACATAAATGCTGAGGACTGAACTCTGACCTCAGTTACATGAGTAGTACTGAGGAGTATCTTCCTTCCAATCCACATGTGTTTACTCTGAAATAACACTGCTATGACTGAGCTCAGACTGTGGTTTTGAATCTGTAGTAATCCCATCTCTTCTACCTGTATGCAAAATAAAATCAAAGGAAAGACCTTAAAATCACTGGCGGCATGAGTGCTGAAGCTAGGCTGCTGAGTCAGCTTCAGAAGTCCTCTAAATAGAAAGTGTCCTAATTTTCAGAGGCACTGATTGAGTGGCTCCCTTAGGCTGCAGTAGGTTTATAATGCACCAATAAAAAATAATTTTTAGAAACTTAAGTATGGATTTAGAAGCCTAACCTAGGTATCCAGTTTTGTATATTTTTGGCTTGTGACTTGTCTGTAAGGGTATCAAGTAACCCTTCAAAGAAGAGTCAAAGGTTTCATGTGAAAAAATCCAGTTTCGTATAGTGAATGCTCTTCTTTCATTTGTACATTGTCTTTTAGGTTATCATTATTCAGCCTCAAGTCCAAACCCAGACAGAAAGTAAAGTGGAGACAAAGAAACCTCCTGAAGAGTCAGCTCAGGGACCCCCTGCTACCAAAAAGAAAAAGGAGGAGAATCCAGAGGTGACCTTTTTTCTTTTTGTTTTAATAAGTGAGCTACAGTATGGTTAAGTTATGGGGGCCAATTCTAAACCTTTTTCTGTGCGCATACGTAATTACTGCATTTGTGCTCATGGTTCTGCCAGCTGTTCATCTCTCTACCCAATCGCTGCAGTCGGGGTGATTTCCCTGCCAGTGAGGTGCTCTGACAGATTTAGTTTGCACCGTTCAAACCATCCAGTGTCACAAAATATAAGAATTGTAGGTCTCAGTAATCTAGGCACCTTGCATGCGTATAACTGTATTTCTTGTGAAAGGTGTATACAAGCTTAAGATACTTTCTTTTATGTTATCAAATATATAACATCAGGTTTCCAGGCTCCATATGAGGTTGAATTAACATTTCTTTTGTAAGCTGAGCTTTTACATCTTCTTTGTAATGAAACTTGCAATATTTAGATTGTATTTAACAAATAGTTTCATGCATTTGCTGTGTATATGTCTTCCCACACGTACACAGATTCTTTCTAGTCTGAAATACATTAAAATCCTTCAAATTGAGTAAGAGAGTAGAAAGCAGGTTATAAGATTAAATTTCTTTCATGAACTATATTTGCAATGTAAACTAAAAATATAAATCAGAAGTCCTTGCAGAAATGGGGTTTCTCTTTAACAGGCATTTTGGGTTTTGACCAGATGTATTCCCATTAGATTGTGTGTCCTTTTGAGGCAATTTGAGAAGTTATACAAACTGAATCTATTTCTATTGTGGAAATGCTCAGCTCATGTGAAATCTTAACCTTACTAGTCTAATAAATGTGTAGTATGAAAGCATCCTTGGAGCTGTAGGTTTAAGAAGATTATTACAATATAAATTTATAATGTTACTTGAGGCATGTGGGTGGTCATTTGTTTTACCATTTTAAGAGGTTCGTATAGTTAAAACAGTGTTAAGGATAAATAGTGGCTTTTAGCCTAGAATATCACAGCTTTATGCAGAAGCTCTGCAGAACTACACTTAGGAAACCTCCCAAGTATAAAATCTGACCCTCATATGAGTCCTCATTGCCACTGAATGATGGGACTGTAGGGTCCTGTTTTGTTTAGGGAGGTATTTCTGAAAGGTTATTTGTTGTGTAGCACCTTGTGGGCAGACAGGCTAGTAGATTCTGCTTAAAAACAGAATGCTAGAAAACACATCCATTTTCCTTTGCCTGTAGCTTATCCCCACAGAAA